CATGCATCCACGAGAAAATGGGAACAACTAAAAAAGGAGACAAAGTAAAAACAAATAAAATTTGGAGCATCCTAAATCTCTTTGTCTAATGAAGAATAGGATAAAATCAGAGTAAAATGTATTCTATAATCGAGAAAATTAGGTTTTCATATCAAACAAAAAGAGGCATTAGTGTTAGAGCCGGTAATTCGGGCGGGCCGGGCTTATTCGGGCCGGGCTCAATTCGGGTTGGGCTTAAAGAATCCTATTCTTTCTAAAAAGCCTATATAGCCAAGCCCGGCCCTAACGCCTTTGGGCTTCGGGCTTATTCGGGCCGGCCCGAATACCCGAAATTTTTTTAAAAATATTTTTTTATTTTTAATCAATTTTAATTTTTAAATAATTTTATTAAGCATAACATATTATTTTAACTTGAAATGAATAAAAAATAATAACTTATTAACTTTGTAGATAAGTATTTAAGTAATGTTACTGTTTTGTTGTATTATGTGTAATTTATTCATGAATGTTTCCTTTACTTGTAAATTAATGTCATATTTATTTAAATATTGCTCTTATCATAGTTATATAAAAATATTTATATATTTTAATTGAATCATATTATTTTAATTATGATCAAGTTAATCTCAATTCAACTACGGTTAAATCATTAATTTAAAATTATTGTCCTGATTAGGTTAAAGTTTTTAATAACTATTCGATAAACTGTACTTTTTATTTTTAAGAATATGAAAAAAATAGTCATCATTATATTATATAAAATAAAATTATTTAATTATGGGTAAAATACTATTTTTTTAAATTTTTTTAAATATTTTATATTGTTTAAGTTCTATATATAAAAAGTATTTACTTTAGTTCATTCTTAATTTTTAACTAAGTCTAGTGTGGATAATAATCAAATAATTATCTAAAAATATTATTTTATTTATTATGTTTGTTTAGTAGTAGAGTCGAAAATTCATACATGTCCAAATTTTATTTTTAAAATTATTTTTAATTTAAAATTAATTATCTTATTTTATAAAAAATATAAAATATAATTTTTTGGACAAGAAAATGGTTTATATTGAGTCTTGAAATATAAAAATTAATATTAAAATATATTTTAATTATTATTTTGAGATCTTTTATTTGATTAAAAATAATAAAAATGGAAAAATATAAATATTTTTTTTTTTTTAAAATAACTATAGTAATACACTCAAATATATGGTATTTTAAAATAAAATGATATAAAACTTGAAAAATAATTAATATTTATTATATTATATATTTTTTTAAAAAATTATTTTTTTTCTATTCGGGTATTCGGGCCAAGCCCGAACCCGATCGGGCTTGGCCCGAATTTTCTCGGGCCTATTCAGGCTGCCCGAATAGGCCCGAATAATAAAAAAATATTATTTTTTCGGGTTCGGGTTTAAATTTTTCGGGCGGGTTTGGGCTGGTCCGTCGGGCTTGGCCCAAATTACCGGCTCTAATTAGTGTTATATAATTATATATATATATATAATGGGGACAACTAAAAACTGTTTTTTTTTGGGTGAAACTGAAAAATGTTTTAGTATTATATTAAAGGAGTGAGCCCACTTTGAGGTAATATGGGGTCGTGGAAACACAAAATCTAACCGCGAAATACCGGAAAGGCATTCAAAAAGGGAAAATCGGGGATAAATCAATAATTTGATTTTCCCAAATGGAAACGACCATGGATACAGGAGAAAAGAGAAGGAAGGGCAATAATTCGTATAATTTTTTTGGAAATAATATTTTCTTCATGTTTTTTTTGTAAGAAAACCGATACTTTTGAAATTCATAATTTTTTTTTCAATTTTTAATTATTTTAATTTATTTTTTAAATTATAAATTTTCCATTTTATATAATCCTTACTGCTGGAATTAAACAATATTTAATCTAAATAAAATTATATAGTTATGTATAGCTCTAAATATGTGCGGTTTATGTTAACAAAAAATAAAGTATAGATAATAAAATACTGATATAATATAACAATTATAATATATTTGACGAAATATTTCCTAGAATATAACAATTGGAATTATATTTAAAAAAATTTAAATTCGATTAAATTACTCTTACTTTTCATTTGGATGGAGAGGAAAATAGGAAGGAAGGAAAACTATGAGAATTTTTTTAAAAAAAATTAATAAGTTTTTACTACTTTTAGAAAATTTTTCTTTTAATTTTCTCTCATCTTTATTTTCTTCTCACCTTTCCATTCATCTAAACTAAGCTTGGATAGTGTACATTTACATAAAAAATTTAAATCACCAAACATGAGAAAGGGCAAATCAATGTTTCTTGGGTCGATGCTAGTTATAAGGTATTAAAAGGGCGACTCATTTCTCAGACTCTATACAAATATATGACAAAATGGGTCTATTTGGTCAAGAAGAGGAAGATGAACAATCCAAATGGGCAATGTCAAGTAGTGAAAGGAAGTCTTTGATTTTGAATGACATTAATTAATTTCTACCAAAGGACATGACAAGGGCACATGTGGTGGGGAGGGACCCCTACTCTCTCTAGCCCTCTCTTTCACTTCTCATTTGGTTTTTGTTTTGAATCATTGTGAGGTTGAGATGCCTTTCCTTTCTTCCACTTATCATTTATTGTGTTTGTGGAGGACACTATAGTCCTTTCCCTTCTCCAATTGCATCTCTCCCTCTCTTCTCTCTGTTTCAAAAGTCAAAATTTTCCTCAATATATTTATATGTTGTTTTCTGATTAGCTTACATTCATTTATTTGTAAATAATTTCCTTTATTTTCTTAAATTAAAATGAGCCTTTAAGACAAGGTTTTGCATGTGGGTTCTGTTATAAATGTAGAAATTCATATTTATTTATCTAATTTTATTTATTAATTACTTCCAACATGTTTAACCAAAATCAACAAAAACTTTAAACTTTATTAACTTTATCTAAAAATTCAAAAAGTTTACAACTTTATTCATATTAAATATATATATACACACTTTAAAACTAAAATACTCCAACATTTAATATGTGCAAGATGGTAAAGATTGCCATATAAATTAAAGATATGCTTTATAAATGGGACCAAATGCTTTCTCCTTTTGTTCTATAAATAGAAACAAAGGAGTATTTAGGACTTCAACTATAACTGATAATCTCAGACCCCAATCTCCCAAAGAAAATAAAAATAAAATATTTTCTAGAAATATCAATAATCAATATTTAGTTTTAAACAAGTGTTTTCATTAATAGCATTCTTTAAGTTGTGTTTTAAAAATTTTTTGAATTGTTATGGGACAAGCTTTTATCTATATCCAGGCATCATAGATTTTCATCCGAGCTTCAAATTAATTGGGAATAAGTACAAGAAGGACCGAGATTAAAAAGCAAATATAAAATAGTGTAATATAATATAATATAATGTAATACTTTTCGTAAATTTTGAGGATCAGAGTTGAACATGCATGTATAACACGTTTGCACACTGCTAAGAACACATTGAAAGCTTGGGAGGCCGTGGTCCTGCGATTCCCACCTGCCTCCACCACTACAAATTACTGAAAAGTATTAAATAATTGAAATGGTTTTCTAACGCATGCATTTAGTGATTTTGAAGTGAAATTTCATAGGATGCAATCTGAGAAAGCATGTAACATGACAAATGGAAAAAGAGAAAGATAAATTTGGCATCCCCATTAACAGACATTCATTGAGACTAGTCGAATTGAAAGATTTCAATCTTAGAGGCTGACAATTTTAAACAAATATATTATGATTTTTTTTTTATTTCAAAAGTTGTTAGCTAGACAGATAAATGAAAACCACTCAAAATATATTTACTACTCTCGCTTTTTTAAATGTCTACTAGAAACCCTGCCTACTCTATAATATTGGGTATTAGATAATTTTTATAAATGTTTTTTAATTATACCATTCCTTCATTTATTATTCTTTTTTGAAAAATAATGTATTAGAATTTAATTGCCATTATTATATGAAATATTTAATGAGTGTATAATTGAGAAGATGTAAAAAATTGTAAAGACAATAAAATGTTACCTAACTTTTTTAAAATCATGAAATAATTATGATTAAAATATATTTTTAATTCTCTAACTTTATATAAGGTTTCAGTTTAATCCTTTAATTTTGTAGAGTATATTTTTAATCCTTTATTCCTAACGTTATTACTTTCAAAAGATTATTTTTTGTGTCAACATCATGAGAATGTTTTGTTAATATTTGAAAATTCAATGTAAAAATTTATTGTTAAGATAAAATTAATAATGTTAAGATTAAAGGACTAAAAAGATATTTTATAAAATTAAGGGACTAAAATAAAATTTTATGTAAAGTTAAATGATTAAAAATATATTTTAACCAAATAATTATCACTATATTGTGTTGGGCAGAGAGTTTAATTCGTCCTAAATTTTGCCTCCGACGAGGAGGAAAAATAACGTTACAAAACAATGAAGGGCCGATAGAGAAGGTTGATGTACAAATCAAGACCTAATTAGATAGTTAAAATTTCTAATTTCTTATTGGAATTTTTTTATCAAAAATATCTCCACAGCCAATTACAGTAAGACCATTCTCTCAAAAAATCTGAGTGTAATTAAGGGATATCCTCTTTTAAAAGATATTTTTTCATATATATTTTTAGGAATCAAATTCTAAAATAATATTTAAGAAACTCAAATTGCTATCATCTATACAACACCCATTTGATTTACCGGGAATATTTTAAAATTTGACAACTTTTCGTAAAATTGAAAAACTTCATGCTCTATACGTTAACATTAATATTTATCTAATCATGTGTGAATTGTCAATTGTGATCCTCTAAGAAATGAAGTCTCTCTCTCTCACACACACCGTGTGTTGAGTACAACACAAAGGAGTAAGGGCAAAGTTGTCACCATTTAGGCCATATAATCTCTATATATACTCAGCAGGCACAATGATAAATCTCATATTTATCTTCCTAAGGTCCTATGTTTTTGCAAGTACTTCTTCCACTACCAACTGTTTCCCACTCATTTCATCATCACCCTGCTCTCTCATCTCTCATCTCTCTCTCTCTCATTATCTTCGTTTCTTCTTCCTCTTCTATTACTATGCCTTCTCTCTCTGACGCCTTTCGAAGCCACCCTGTGTTCGCTCACCACAAGCACCCTGACTTCACTTCCCTTCAGGAGCTTCCCGATTCCTACGCATGGTCTTCTTCCGCCTCCGCCGCTGTCGATTCCCTCCACCGTGTCCCCGTCGTTGATCTTGATGACCCTAATGCCTTTTCTTTCATTGGCCGTGCATGCAAATCTTGGGGCGTTTTTCAGGTCGTCAACCACGGCGTCCCCTCCGGCCTCCTCCGTGACATTGAACTCGCCGGTAAGGCCCTCTTCTCTCTTCCTCCCTCTCACAAGCTCCGAGCCGCTCGCTCCCCTGACGGCGTCTCTGGCTATGGCCGCGCTCGCATCTCCTCCTTCTTCCCCAAGCTCATGTGGTCCGAAGGCTTCACTATTGTTGGATCCCCTCTCCACCATTTTCGCCAACTCTGGCCTGATGATTACACTAAATACTGGTAAGTAAAAAAAAAAAAAGAAAAAATTAATTAAAACTGTTATGCTGTAGTGTTAAATACTATACTTATCACTCACACATCCTCATGCACGTGCTTCTCTCTGTTTCTCTCTCCCTGATTTCTATTTTTTTCGGAAATTTTTTGTTAATTTTGGTATTATTTTTGCGGAGATGATGATACTATATTGCTGGCCAAAAAATATAAGAACCCGTTTTCTTATCCGAATGCAATTAGAAAATTAAAGATTACAATGAGAGGCATGGGACCCCCCACGAGATAAAAAATCTAACACAACAGACTCCAAAATTGGCACTGTTTATGACTCTTTCGATCATCCATTGATCTCGTTGCTCCAATTATTTCAACAACGTTTTGTGATTTTTTGTCCGTTTGTCCAGCGATGTTGTCAAGAGATATGAAGAAGCGATGGAAAAGTTAGCGGGAAAGCTAATGTGGCTCCTCATGGCCTCTCTGGGTATATCAAAAGACGACATCCAATGGGCCGGGCCAAGAGCTGATTTCACCGGGGCTTCTGCCGCTTTGCAATTGAACTCCTACCCGACTTGCCCGGACCCGGATCGGGCCATGGGCCTTGCGGCTCACACCGACTCCACCCTCCTGACTATTTTACACCAAAACAACATTAGCGGGTTGCAAGTTTTTCGAGAAGGCACGGGGTGGGTGATGGTGCCACCACTTGCTGGTGCGCTTGTGGTGAACATCGGCGATCTCCTCCACATTTTATCGAACGGCTTATATCCGAGTGTGCTCCACCGGGCAGTAGTGAACCGGACCCGGCAGAGGTTCTCTGTGGCGTATTTATATGGGCCCCCAGGGAATGTGAAGATCTCACCACATGCGAAGCTAGTGGGCCCAAGTCGGCCTGCATTGTATAGGCCGGTGACGTGGAACGAGTACCTTGGGACCAAGGCAAAGCATTTCAACGAAGCACTATCGCGTGTGGAGGTTTGTGCGCCTAAGAGCGGATTGTTTGATGTAACCGAGACTCACAACAGTAGCGTGCAAGTGGGCTAGAAACTTCTGAACTGAAAGTAAAATTTGGAATGTTGTATTGGTGTTGAATTATATGGGTAGTGTTTGTGTGAGCTAATAATAAGCCATATATTGTATTTAGCATTATTGGAAGAGAAAAGGGCAAAAACAAAATGAAGCACTAATTATAAATAGGATTGACTGAATATGAAGGAATTAATTGGTCATGGTCGGGCTATCAATTTGGTTGGCTCAAAACGAGAAGGGAGGAGGGAGAGAGAAAAAAGGGGGGGGGGTAAGATAAGTCAAATCATATAATATTAATGGGACGGAAACAAATAGTCTATATGGGAGTGTGTTGCGTTTGTCTTTGTTGGGAAAGTTGTGAAATAATAATAATAATCAAGTGGTAAGCAAAGGACACAATGCTCTCTTAATCCACAGCCATCAAATTTGAACGCAAAATATGGTCCATATCTTGATCATTGTTTTAGGTTCAACCTCTACTATACATTCCCTTCTATTTCTATTATAAGTCATCTCTAACTACCTCACCAAAATTAATAAAAAATAATTAATTAAGTCATTAACGTTAATGAAAATATAATAAATTTTTAATTTTACCCATACTTACATGAAAATTTTTCAAATTTTTGTTATATTTTCTCTCATTGTTAAGGAATTTAAACAGGAAAAATATTGAAAAAAAATATAATTAATACCTTAACAAATGCCTATATTAAAGATCAAAGAATTACTTTTAGAAGGTACTCTATAATAAGTACAAGAGCAGTATACATTTCACTAATTAAAATATAACTACATATCTACCATTGGGTAGTACCAACAACGAACATAGATTTGGGTATTCTTATTAGTCTTCTTCCAATGGAAATAGCTCACCAAATGTTATCATTTCGTACCCAATTACCAAGCTTGAAGTTAGAACCTCGGTTTCTAATTCCTTTTATTTGCAATCTTCTTATGAAATGCACCTGATATATCCTCCATCTGGTCTTTAATATAAAACTTAACTAATTCGGTGCTTATTAAAAAGTTGTTGCTATACCCTTAAAAATATTGAAAAAAATATAACTTTCTAGTTTTGCCTCCTTTTTGCCATTAATAATCATAATAAAATGTTATCTAGTAATTCAAATTATATATAAATAAACAAAGAATAAAATAAAAATATTAAACTTTATCTTTTAACATCAACGTCTATTAGTCAAGTGGTATTGTCTGAAAAATATATGACGTGTATGGTACTTGTTTTGGTTAAAAAAATAAATAGAGGGGAAAAATGGATTCCATTTGACGTGTCATCATCTACACATTTAATTTGTTGATTAAAAAATTCGTCAATTGCACTATAAACTAATAGTATTGTCACTTGTACATATATAACCGGCCAAGATACACATATATAAAGTGAGACAATATTGTTAGTTCGGGTTGACATATTTTTATTTTCCGTTTTTTTAATAAAACAGTATCTTGTTAGAATAACAAGTCATATGGTAGCTTCAATATGATGCCATATGTTCCAGTTAAAAAAAAAGATGCCAATTAATATTTCTCCAAATAAATTAAATGAACTTTAGCGTGCCAATTGCTCTTTGTACAAATATTTTTGGGATAAAAATGTCTTTTTCTAAGGATTTTTCTACATAGACAACCACTTGTCGATCTGTGGATTGGTTGAATGGCAACAATTTTGGCACTTGAAAGTAATATTGCTTCTACAAATAATTTAGGATAACCAATACAATGTTCGACGAAAAATACTATAGGAACAAAATGCCACCTTAATCCTATATTTTTTATTAGAATTTGATATTGGCATTTGAAGTATGAGATAAACATTTTTTTAAAAAAAGAACGAAGGTTCAAATTGTAACTATTTAACACAGATGATAGATCAAATAATTCCAGTGTTCATTTATACACTCATATAGGTTCTCATATTTTTTCATGTGAAACTTGAAGTTGGACATATCAAAGAAAGAAAGAAATTGAATATGCAATTAGCAGTGTTTCCATAATGAAAATCTACTATATAGACATAAATATAGGTAGTGACCGACGTCCAAAGATGGGTTGATGAAGTAAGAAAAAAGAAGATATATATATATATATATGGTAAATTGGTGGTTGAAAGACACAACCAAAGAAAAAAGTAATAAGAAGACTTTTTTTTTTTTTGCGTGTTTGTGTCTCCAAAACAAAGTAAAGTAAATAGAAGGATCAGGAATATGTTCCAATAAAAGACACAAAACCAAAGAAAAAAGTAAGAAAACTTTTTTATACATGTTTGTGTCTCCCAAACAGAGTACAGTAAATAAAAGGATGAGGAAATATGTTTCAACAATTTTTGGCAATCAAATATTTGACTGTCTCAAGTCGATGTTCTTCTCTCTGTGCTCCCATGTGCTCCTGCCTTTTCCCACTGCTCCCATTCTCACTCAACATAGTTATTATGAATAGTGATTTTATACCCATTATATTATGTTATATCTGCGCCACATAAATTAAACAGATTTAGATATGGTGAATGATTTAAATATTCATATTCAATGATGGTGTCTTAATTTCAATCATTTGATTTCATTGACACTTGAAAATTATCAAAACAAATTCCTTTCCAAAAATTCAAAAACCTCACGTTACATATGCTATCCCCTCTAAAATTTTGCAATTTGATATTTGTTAAGTATCATATAACAAAATATTTGACATCCGTTTGATTAAGTTAATGGTTATTATTATGGCACATGAGATGTTCATTGAGTGAATAAATTTAGCTATGCTACTCAATGGATCCAAATCTAAATCTTAATTTAACAAAACAATCGTATCATCTATAACTTATTAATAGTGTTAATTTATGCCTTTTATAACTTCTGCAATAGTTCCCTAATGTCTTCTAGAGTATAAGTATAGTAACATGCAAAATACTTTCAAATTACACACAAGTATAGTAACATGCAAAATACTTTCAAATTACACACACACACAACACAGAGAGACGAGAGAGAGAGAGAGAGAGAGAGCGAGAGAGGGAGAAGAGAGAGAGAGAGAGAGAGAGAGAGAGAGAGAGAGAGAGAGAGCGCGAGAGAGGAGAGAGAGAGAGAGAGCGGAGAGAGGAGAGATGAGAGAGGCGAGAGAGAGAGCGAGCGGCGAGAGCGGAGAGAGAGAGAGCGAGAGAGATGAGGATGAGGAGAGCCGATGCGAGAGAGAGAGAGAGAGAGATGGGAGCGAGAGAGAGAGAGAGAGAGAGAGAGAGAGGTAATCTAAGTGGTTAAATTTATTCCGAAACCTTTCATATTTACCCCTTAATTAAACGGGGAGAGAGAGAGAGAGAGAGATAATTAGTTAATCTAAGTGGTTAAATTTATTCCGAAACCTTTCATATTTACCCCTTAATTAAACGGTCACCCTCCCTTCATAGTTCATTGAATCAATCTTAATTAATGTGTTCTTTAATTTCTCTTTTCTAGTTTCTTAAATCCCAAATGCATGAGTGATATTTAACGGAAAAATGCATTTGATAATTCAGACAATTCAAAAAGATGTGACTTATATTTTGCACCAAAACACTCTCCCATAAATGACTTGTATTTGATGTGGGAACGAGCATTGCACGCACACTCTTTCTCATGATTATAATACTACTTCTTACATAATTTTTAAAAACTTAGCCCGAATTTTTTTTAAATTTGGTCAAAAAATATTTAAAAAAATTGGAAATTTATTTCTTGTGTAATTCTAAAAGAAATATTTTTGATAAAATCATCTGATAGGAAAACTAAAAAATTTAAATACTATAAGCTAAACATATCAAATCATAACATTATTCACAAGCCAATATATTCCATCTACTTCCCACACAATTTATAATAAATATAAATACATATATAAACAAATTTACTAATGGTGGTTGGGTCTAGATAATGAATTAGTCACTCACAACATGACCAACGGGTGTTTAAATTTTCATATTCTCATAACAAAATTATCTCACAATATAAAGATATCTGTATGTAATAATTAGTATATATATATATATAATGAGGGTTGGGTCTAGTAGAAATGACTAGTTTCTCATAACATAATGAACTAAGATTTAAATTTTTGTTAGAAAAAGTGCTCACATTTAGTGTTTGATTTTATCTCGAATATGATTGCATTGAATATGAGGATATGTATGAGTAATAAAATATATATATATATATATATAATTATTAATAAAACATTGCAAGTCTAACTCATTCTTCAAATTTTATCTAACTTACAAAAAAATTTTAAAAGCTTTTAATTTTTTTTTGAATTGTTCTGCAAAAAATTTAATTTCTAACTTTTATAAAATCTCTAACCACTTTTTATAAAATATATATTCTTTTAAAAAAAACGAGCTCATACTTAATTCAAGTCATGCGAGAAAGGAAATTAAATTCATCATTTTTCAGAGACCTAGTATGTATAATTTATTATAAGAAACTTATGATCTAAAAGCGTTCACTATCTTATATGTCAACGGTTTGGAATATAGCCTAGTAATATTATATATTAAATATATTTATCCTTACAATGATAATCTGCGAAGTTGTCTGAATTATTCTGAATCTATTTTCTGTATTATTTCTTTCAATTTTCTATCCCACAGTGCAATTTAAAGACAAGGCAGACCCTCATCAGTCAGTAAATTATATACCATTTAAATACTTTTATTTTATTATGGTTAACTTCTACATCTAAAAAGAATCAAAGTAAGATAATTCTTGATTTTTTTTCCATTTATATATAAAATATATATCATGTCCCTTCTTATCTGTTCCCAAATAAAGCCATAATTAAAAGTAAAACAATTTTAATCAAGCCAGTAATAAGTAATCCGATCCAAAGCTCTCAAACTGATTTTGCATGAATTAGCCTTTTCACAAACGTCATCATTTAACGATAATTAAATTCTCATTTGACTGACAATGAATGCCCAATTATACACACATTAAGTGACGTGAACGATTCAATCCAATGATCAAGACAATGACATAAAGCATGGCAGATCAGATCTAAACATATAAAGATGGATATATGACCACCAATCTATATATCCCCTTTTCAAAGAAAATTGATGATTTATTACGTTTAATTAATTGTCAACAAGAACTTAATGGTTATCCTCAAGGTTGTTAAACTAGAGAGTTTAAATAAATTCGTGATAGAGATTTAAACTCAAAACATAGGTTTTGATGGTAAACTTATAA